TCCCACTTCCAAACCTTTGCTTCTCCTGCGTCCTATCTCAAATGCCTTTCCTTTTCACCCTACCCACCCCATCAAAATCTTAACCATCAGTCAAAGTCGACTTCAAATTCACTGCTTACTTTCCCATTTGGAAGCTCTCTCCTTATTGTTTGGAGCTTCTTATGATACCTACTATACAATTTACCTAATCACAAGATGCACAGCCAGGGGCAGTGGCACATGCTTTGAGCACACTATTCAACCCAGCTGAAGTTTTTTCTGCTATAGCTGATAGCAGCAAACAGTATATTGATTTACATTCCGGATTAGGAAAGCATGGGATAAAGCAAACAGTAGATTGATTTATGTTCTGGAACAAGCTCCTTATCTCATGGCAAACCAGTAACAAACAGTTCACTAACTGGCACCAGACCACACTTTTAAGTAGTATTGTCCTAGGACAGAGTGCCTTTCAATAGATTTTTTTTTTTAAGATTTTATTTATTTTAGAGCAGTTTTAGGTCCACAGCAAAACTGAGCAGAAGGTACAGAGAGTTCTCATATCCCCACTGCCCCCGCACAAGTATAGCCTCCCTCATTGTCAATATCCCCCACCAGAGTGTAACATTTGTTACAACTGATGAACCTACATTGACACATCATTGTCACCCAAAGTCCATAGTTTACATTAGGAGTCACTCTTGGAGTTATACACGCTATGATTTTTGACAAATGTATAATGACCTGTGTCTACCATTCTAGCATCATACGGAGTATTGTAACTACCCCAAAAATCCACTGTGTTTCACCTATTCATCGCTCTCTTATCCCTAACTCCTGGCAACCACTGATCTTTTTTACTATCTTCATAGTTTTGACTTTTCCAGAATGTCATAGAGTTGAAATAATATAATATATAGTCTTTTTAGGTTGACTTCTTTTACTTAGCAATATGGATTTACATTGCCTCCATGACTCTTCGTAACTTTAGAGCTCATTTCTTTTCAGTGATGAATATTATTCCACTGTCTGAATGTTCCACAGCTTAGTTATTCATTCCTCTATTAAAAGACATCTTGGCTGCTTCCAAGTTTTGACAATTATAAAGTTGCTGTAAGTATCCGTATGCATGTTTTTGTGTGGATAAAAGTTTTCAATGGATAAACTTATAGGTTTGGAAGTGGGAAAATGACTTGTGTTTGAGACTAGTAAGTAGTCTTGGTATTTACCCAAAGGTAAAATTGCTAGATCATATGGTTAAAGAGTGTGTTGAGATAAGAAAAGGGAAAAATAAATAAATAATGGTCTTGTGGGCCGGGCATGGTGGCTCATGCCTGTAATCCTAGCACTCTGGGAGGCCAAGGCGGGAGGATCGTTCAAGGTCAGGAGTTAGAAACCAGCCTGAGCAAGAGCAAGACCCCGTCTCTACTAATAGAAAGAAATTCATTGACCAACTAAAAATATATATACAAAAAATAAGCCAGGCATGGTGGCACATGCCTGTAGTCCCAGCTACTTGGGAGGCTGAGGCAGAAGGATTGCTTGAGCCCAGGAGTTGGAGGTTGCTGTGAGCTAAGCTGATGCCATGGCACTCTAGTCCAGGCAACAGAGTGAGACTCTGACTCAAAAAATAAATAAATAAATAAAACAATAAAAAAATGATAGTCAAAACCATTCCAGTTTGATAAAAAACATTATTCTATGCATCCAAGAAGCTCAACAAATTCCAAGTAGGATAAACTCAAAGAGATTTACCTCTAGATACATCATAATCAAACTGTTGAAAAACAAAGAGAAAATCTTGAAAGCAACAAGAAGTGATTCATCATATACAAGGGAGCCTTAATAAGATTAACAGCTAATTTCTCATCAAAAATCATAAAGGCCAAAAGGCAGTGGGGTGACATATTCAAAGTGCTGAAAGAAAAAGGTTGCCAAAAATTCTATTATCCAGAAAACTATACTTCAAAAATGTAGGCGAAATTAAGACATTACCATACAAAGAAAAAAAATAGGAGAATTTGTTGCTAGGACTACCCTACAAGAAATACTAAAAAGGGTCTTTCCGACTGAAATGAAAGGACATTAGATAGTAACTCAATCCATACAAAAAAAATAAAGAACACTGGTCAAGATAGCTACAGAGGTAAATACTAAAGACAGTTTAATTGTATTTTTTGTTTGTAACTCTTTTTTTCTATCAGATTTTTAAAAAACTACATAAATTAATAAATATAAAACTGTGTTGATAGGCTTATAATGTATAATTATATAATTTATGTGACAATAATAGCACAAAAGAGGGTGAAGAAAACAAAACTAAATAGGAGCAAAGTTTGTATTCTTTTTACATTTAGTTGATATCAATCAGAACTAGGTCGTTGTAAGTTAAGAAGTTAATTATAGGCCTGGTGTGGTGGCTCACACCTATAATCCTAGCACTCTGGGAGGCCGAGGTAGGAGGACTGCTTGAGCTCAGGAATTCAAGACCAGCCTGAGGAAGAGTGAGACCCCATCTCCACTAAAAATAGAAAAAATTAGCCTGGTGTGGTGGTGTGCACCTATAGTCCCAGCCACTTGGGAGGCTGAGGCAGGAGGATTGGTTGAGGCCAGGAGTTTAAGGTTACTGTGAGCTAGGCTGATGCCACAGCACTCTAGCCTAGGCAACAGAAAGAGACTGTCTCAAAAAAAAGGAGTTAATTATAATCCCTAGGGCAACCAGTAAGGATATAACTCAAAACTATATATAGAAAAAGACAAGTGAATTAATGTTATTAACTAGAAATACCTACTTAACATACAAAAAGCAGAACCAGAGGAAACATGAAACAGAAAAATGACATATAGAAAATAAATAGCAAATTGGAAAATGTAAATCCCACTTTATCAATAATTACATTAAATGTAAATATGAAATATAAATGTGTATTTCTTCCTTCAGTTCTGTCAGTTTTTGCTCCTTATATTTTGGGGCTTTGTTGTTGCAAACAAGTCAACGATAATAACTGTAGACTTCAATACTCCACTTTAAATAATGAATAAAGGAACTTGACAGAAGATCAACAAGGAAATGGAAGACTTGAACAACACTATAAACCAGCTAGACCAGCTGGGCCGAGTGCAATAGTGTTTACAACTAATTGATCACAGCCAGCTACAGGTTCCTTTCCTCCTTCTCCACTCCCACTGCTTCACTTGACTAGCCAAAAATAAAATTAAAAATATATATAAATTCAAAATAATTTTTAAAAAACCAACTAACAGACATCTATGGAAGCCTCTATCCGACAACAGTAGAGTACACATTCTTCTCAGGTACCCACATAACATTCCCCAGAATGAACCATAGGTTAGCCCATAAAACAAGTGAATTTTAAATTCAAATAAATTCACAAAGATGGAAATTATCATATAAAGTATGTTCTCCAACTACAAAAGAATTAAATTAGAAATCCACAACAGAAAGTGGTTTAGGAAATTCACAAATATATGGAAATTAAACAACCCACTCCTAAATAACCAATGGATCAAAGAATAAATCAGGCAAAATTAGAAAATACTTTGAGATCAACAAAAATTTTTTTAAAAATACCAAAACTGGCCAGGCACGGTGGCTCACGCCTGTAATCCTAGCACTCTGGTAGGCCGAGGCTGGCGGATTGCTCGAGGTCAGGAGTTCGAAACCAGCCTGAGCAAGAGCGAGACCCTGTCTCTACTATAAATAGAAAGAAATTAATTGGCCAACTAACATATATAGAAAAAATCAGCCAGGCATGGTGGCGCATGCCTGTAGTCCCAGCTATTCGAGAAGTTGAGGCAGAAGGATTGCTTGAGCCCAGGAGTTTGAGGTCGCTGTGAACTGGCACTCTAGCCTGGGCAACAAAGCGAGACTCTGTATCAAAGAAAAAAAAAAAAACCAATACTTATAAGATGTAGCTAAAGTAGTGCTTAAAGGGAAATTTATAGCTGTAAATATTTTTATTAAAATGATCTTGGCCAGGCACAGTGGCTCACGCTTGTAATCTTAACACAGTGGGAGACTGAAGCGGGAGAATTGCTTGAGCTCAGGAGTTCAAGATCAGCTTGAGCAAGGGTGAGACTCCATCTCTACAAAAAATAGAAAAATTAGCCAGGCACCATGGTGCACACCTGTAGTCCCAACTACTCAGGAGGCTGAGGCAAGAGGATCACTTGAACCCAGGAGTTGGAGGTTGCAATGAACTACAATGATGCCACTGCACTCTACCCAGGGAGATAAAGACTCTGTCTCAAAAAAAAAAAAAAAGAGAGGCCGGGCGAGGTGGCTCACGCCTGTAATCCTAGCTCTCTGGGAGGCCGAGGCGGGCGGGTTGCTCGAGGGGAAGGAGGTCGAAACCAGCCTGAGCAAGAGCGAGACCCCGTCTCTACTATAAATAGAAAGAAACTAATTGGCCAACTAATATATATAGAAAAAATTAGCCGGGCATGGTGGCTCATGCCTGTAGTCCCAGCTACTTGGGAGGCTGAGACAGAAGGATTGCTTGAGCCCAGGAGTTTGAGGTTGCTGTGAGTTAAGCTGACGCCACGGCACTCACTCTAGCCTAGGCAACAAAGCGAGACTCTGTCTCAAAAAAAAAAAAAAAAAAAGAGAGAGAGAAAGAGAGGATATTATGAGCAATAATATGCCAACAAATTATATAACCTACATGAAACAGACAAATTCTAAGAAAGACAAATATAACAGTTATGTAGGTATTGGAGCTATATTTATTTGTTCACAACACATATTCATGAACACATATTTCCAATAACTAAGGGAAAATTAAGGAATGAGGTAGCTGCATTTTGAATATTGGTGGATGAATCTGTCACATGCCTTCTTTTATTTATTTTGTTCTTTGGTTCCCCTCTAAAGCCATAGCTGATCGTTTAAATAGGACTAATGGAGAACAGTTGAAGAACCTTGCCTTTTCCTTAAAATATCCTCAGAAGAATGGCTCATTATATGTGTATAAATTAATAGAGATATTATTTGTTTCCAGAAGAGCAGTGCAATCCACAAACTTGAGGAAATGGAAGAATTTCACACCATGGTGGGCTATTACATTGTGTAACAGGCTCTGCTAACACAAGCCACAATCACTGGATGACCTACAGCTAGGAATGTACTAGAGAACATGCAAATTACAGCCTGCACCTGCAGGTAATGCCTTAGCCCCTGTTTATGGGCTTTTTAAAGCCATTTACAAATCTATGTATTTATGGGGTTTGTAGGATGTCATAGCCTGCTTGTTTCACAAGATTAAGTAACATTTTATACAAGTGTTTTGATAAATATCCAACCTCATAATTTCTCATCATTTGGTAAATTTTTTTTTTCATATGCTGGAACTAAACTTTCAAATGGTAGTAAGGTAAAATTTCCATTGATCCATTTAGGAATATTTGTTAGAGAATCATATTTTGAAAGCAGGAGATATTAGGCACATAAAAATCGTGGGAACTAAAAAAAAAAATCCTGGGAACTAATACCTTTGGTATTTGAGAAAGAAGTTTGATTCTTCAGCAAATGTCAGGAAAGATCTTTGAAGATTAGAGTGACATCAAAGTATGGTTGTATTTTGAGTCTGTTAGCAATATGTTCTTGCTAGACACAAAGGCAATGTCTCAGGCAATCCACACATACTGACCTGGTCCTGCACTGTTCCATAAGCCACATTTGGCTGTTGAGCACCTGAAATGTGGCTCCTCTGGATGGAGATGTGCTGTAAGGGCAAAGCACACACTGCATTTCAAAGACTTAGTACCAAAAAATTATAAATTATCTCTATTTTTAATATAGTTTACATGTTGAAATATTTTGGGCTGAATGAAATATAATATTAAAATTAATTTTACCTGTTTCTTTTCACTTTTTTCAACATGGCTACTCAAACATTCTAAATTACATATGTAATTTAGCTCATATTATATGTCTCTTGGATAGCAATGACCTAGTCTAGCACAGACAGCTTAACATATCCAAAGGGAGAATGCTGGAATTGGCATCACAGATTTGCAGGACCCAGGAATGGCTGCAGAAATTTTCTTCCTGAAAATTCACTATGGAAAACTATAGAAGAATGATATCAGGTTTTCTCCATCATTTTTAAGGCAGTTTTCAGAAGACCAAAGAGATAGTTAGTAGGTAAAAACAAACAAACAAAAATCAACAGGCTACTGTATAAAGGGGTGTTCAGGCCTAGGTCTAATTATAGTTTAATTCAGCCCCTGGAAAGGTTGTTTGATAATGTTCCAGTTTATGACCTAATGACCAACATTATTAAATTACCCCCTCCTGTGCTTTGGTACCATATTTATGGGCTCTTTCATTAGTACTAACTTCAAACAAAGATTGAAAAGTTAAGAGGCCTGTAGGTACTCCTGACCCATATTAGAGTCTGGTCCATTCTGGAGCCACTGTGGGCCTACATGCTAGACTGAGATGAGCCTAGAGAGATTTCTTCATCTGGGGAGCCACCCTAGATTTTCTGGTTTGAATATAACCCAGTAGAAGTTCACTCTAAAGCAGCCACTTCTTGGGACTCTGCCGAGCCATCTGATGTCTTTGATACACTCACTGGAACGGCCTAGAAAAGGTCTGTTCTTTGGACCTCCAGGTATCCTTTGCCCTACACTCCTACCCCAACATACACCTACATGCCCTAAACAGAACAAGAAAAATTTTGCAAACCTCTACATCCAGGTTTTACTTAGGTTTGTAATACTAATTTTATTAGCAATAAAAGCATACCAGTAAAAAAGGTGTCCAAAGTAGAGAAAATAATTTTTTAATTCATAATAAAACTAAATTCAGAACATTTTTCAGAATAGTACCAACACCCCAAACAACCACTATTAACAATTACATGGTATCTGTTCAAGTCCTTTTTTACCCACACCTGGCTAATGTTAAGGTGAGTGTGCATTTTAATATTTTTAAAAGTTGTCATACATTCCTATCTATGCTTATCTGAGTATACAAGTCTAAAAGCCACGGGTTCCTGCTGTCATGAGGTCCCCTGTCCAGGAAAATGTTTTAAGCCTCTTTAGAAGCTTCTTTTTTTCCCCAATCTCAACAAAATTCCAGTGTGTATACAGTCTACATGAAAATCAGATTAAGTGATGGTTTATTTGTAGGACTTAATTTCCTAATTTCAAATTTACGGTATTTATTTTGAAATACTAATTTGTTTTTCTCTCCTCCATGCCCACATCATCCCACACCCAGTTTGAGCAGGTGCCAGTTTGACGTTTCTTTGCCTCAGGAAGTTTTGCAGAGTAAATAACAAAGCAGTTCTAAGGCTCTTCCACCCTCTGCAGAGGACACAGCCAGTGTTACAGAACAGGTAATCCTCTGAGGATCCTGTGGCTTGTTAGAAATTCGAACTAATGAGCTCCCCATGACCTCTGGAATCAGAATCTCTGAGGGTGAGATCCAGGAACCTGTTTTAACAAGTTATTCAGGCCATGAACATGCACATCAAAGTATGAAAAGTGTCTGGTCAGAGGAAGGATTCCAGAAGAAGAAGGGTGAGTGGCACACCTTTGGGAAGGAGGAGGAAGGAGGAAGCCAGGCCCCTGGACATACAAGGTTCCAGGGCTACACCTGAGAAGGTGTTGCAATCTCAGGTGATGTAGCACTGTCTTATCCTATGCCCCAATGACAGGTAGGGAAGCAGTGCATAGACAGTGAAGGTGGCAATGTGTACACAATAGGCTGCTAATCAGAAGCCCCTACCCAATCCACTCGCTTTGGATTCTGGATCCTATAGAGGCCTACAGCCTTTTCAGGGGTCCCTGTGTTGACTGAGACACCCATCAGGGCACAGAGCCTACAGTACAATTTATTTTTATTTAAAAGGACATGGGCACAGTGGCCTGTAGTTCAGCTACTCAAGAGGCTGAGGCAGGAGGATCACTTGAGCCCAGGAATTCGAGGCTCTAGTGCACTATGATCTCATCTATGAATAGCCACTGCATTTCAGCCTGGGCAGCACATCCAGACCCCATTTCTAATAAATAAAACAAAACAAAAACAACACCACCCAAAAGAACAAAGAACTGGAGAATTCTTGCACACCTGAGATTGTGGACTGAGAGTCTTCCCTACTACATGTGTGACAAAGTCAATAAATGAGACAAACCATTCTGATGAATATGAAATTCTTCAATTTCATATTCATATTCAGGGTCAAGAATGACACTTGCTATTCTATATCAGCCTCACTCTCTGAAGCATTCTTTATTAGGGTTTTTATTTTGCATACTGTGAAGGAAACCCTTGACCACACTGATAGATAGCCCTGCATTCATTTCTACAGTGTTATTTGAGTAAGCCTACACAGAATTACAACTTTTCTCATTAATATCGCTTGGCAATAAGTTAAAGGTTAAAAGGCGGGAATGGTAGGGGATGGGGAGTAGAGGTTAAAAAAAAAAGCTTTATCCAGACACAGGCAAAAAAAGAAAAAACAAAAGCTATCCTGGTAGCACAATTAAATCAGTTCCTTAATTCAACTTTGAAAGTTGGAACTCCATTAAGAGTAATAATAAATTACAGCTAAGATGGGGGCTCTTGCAAAGAAAGCCATATATAAGCATAATGCTATGGCTTATCATTTCTCAAGGGGCAAGGTCAAAATCCAGGTACCAAGAGGAATTGTCTTATGAAATTAGATCAGTGGTTCTCAAATGTGGATGTTTATCAGAATCACCTGCAGGGTGTGTCAAAACACAAACTGCTGACCCCCACTTTTTCACCCCTCTCATTTTCTGCTTCAGTAGGTCTGGGGTGGAACCCCAGAAATTTGCATTTCTGAAAAATTCTCGGGTGATGTTGGTCCAAGGGCCACTATTTGAGAGCCATTAGAACAGACTACGTGGCTACACTCCATTGCTTGCCTTGTCCGGATGCACTTGCAAGGAAGAAGCTCCTGGACACCCCCTTCAGTGCTGCTTTGGGGGCCTGGACTAGGGCTGAACTGAAGCAATTGATCATCATTATCCATATTCTTTCATACTAGGACTGACTGCACAGTAGAATCATTGGAGGAATCTTCTGTAAAGTGTTGAAGCCCAGGTCCCACCTCCAGAGAATCTGATGTCACTGTTCTATGACAGGAGCTGGGTAAAACCTATAGGTTCATCAATACCAATTAAGGCAGTGGCTTGACCTTTCCTCACATTTGCAATACCTGAGATCCTTTTAAAAACTATCTTTGCCTGGCTCTGCTCCAGACCAATTGTCAGAATGGAGAGGAAGGGAAAGACAGGCTTGATTTTGTTTTGTTTTTATATTTTAATTAACAAATGGAAATAGGTTTTTATTTCTCAAAGCAGTTTTAGGTTTGCAGAAAAATTGAGTAGAGCGTACAGAGTTTCCATATACTCCCTACCCCTCATGCCCTACAATTTCCCCTATTAATATCTTGCTTTGGTGTGGTTAATTGGTTACAATTGATGAACATTAATGAATTTATGAATATTCATATATTATCATTAACTGAAGCCCACAGGTTACATTAGGGTTCACTCTTTGTGTTGTACAGTTCTATGGTTTTGCCAAATGTATGATGTCATGTAACCATTGTTATACAATATCATACACAATAGTTCCAGCCTTGCTGAAATTTTTATTTATCATTTATAATTAAAGAATAAATTAAAATTTCGTTTATAATATGGAAAAATAGAAAACAACTTATATGTCCGGGAACAGGAATTGAGTAAGAAACAGTGTTGATTTCAAATGATGAAATACCAGTAGCTATTTAAATTATCTTGGGGAAGTGTTTTCATGGTACAAAAAAAATGTTTTTGAGATTTTGCTGAGTTTTTAAAAGGCAAATTACCCAAAATATGCATAGTATTTTGTCATGTAAAAAATATATACATGGATACAGAAAACTCTGGAATATATTTCACCAAAATTTAACAGTGTTTCTCTTGTATAAGTGTGATATTTTTAACCTCTTTTCAATTTATTTATGTTTTCTGAGTTTTTATGATAAGCATGCATTATTTATATAATTAATGAAAGGAAAGAAAGCCAGGGGACTGTGACCTCTAAATATCATTCCTACTAAAATAAAACAGGGCTACTTAAAGAAATGGCTAATTCTTGGCTGACTTCAGAAAGCAAGGAAGAAATCCAAGGGGTTCATCAAGCGGATTTAGTAGCCAACCTGGAGAGACTGGCCAGCAATGGGATAATTTGTGCTTCGATAAGAATAATAACTGTAAAGGATTAAATTCCATCAAGTATGCTAAATTCATGAATTGTTAATGGTAACTTTAAAGCATTCTATTAAGTGGAGAACTAAAGATTCATTATTCTTATAACTGATAAATAAAAGAATCAATCATTTAACCTACCTCTCTACAAACTGTAGCTCAGGGTAACCCCTATTTGTTGAGGGGTACATTCCCTCTGAAGACATATTCCAGCTAATAAATGAAGAATGATAGAATTACAGTATCACCATTTCACAAACCCTTAATGAAATAATAGATTTAGGTAAAGTTCATCAATGGACATTGATATTACAAAAAGGAAGCCACCCCAAGATGATGTATCTCCAGACAGAAGTACACAGCACCACCTATGAATATCATTGCCTCCAAATCAAACCCCTATCAGATCAGACCTCTTGATCTAACTACCAGTTCACAGGAAATGCTGGGGACAGAAGAATATCTTAAATGCCACCACAAGGATGTAATCGAATTCAGACTGTAGGAAATTATACAGAACAAATCAACTGAATTCTTCCAAAAAAATTGAAAAGAATAAAACCTGTGAATAAAAGAAACTTCAGAGACACTTCAATCTAATGCAATGTGTGAATCTTGATCCAAACAAATTAAATGTAAAATAACAGGAGACAATCAGGGAAATTTATGTGTTGAATGGATATTCAGTGATATCTTTGAACTTTGGTCAATTTTTTAAATGTGATGATAGTATTACAGAGTTCCTATCCTTTAAAGGTATACATTAAAATGTTTACAAATAAAATGACATAATAATGAGATTTCCTTTGTCAACTTTAAATAATGAGATTCAGAAAAATATGATTAAGTATAGGGTTTATTAGAGTGCAAAATTTGAGGATAACTATCCAGGAAGCACAGACTCCAAACAAATGGTTTCAGTGTTCCAAACTGGAAAAGTTAAGGTTTCAATTATATAGGCAGTGACAGAGAAGTTTTAGCAGGATTTCATTTTCCACACAAGAACCAGTGCATAGTTGTCTGGTTACAGATAGCTACATTCCAAGGAAGATTACTTTATTATTTTGTGAGGAGGGATAAAGATCTGAGGGGGTCTTATCTCTGGTGCTGCTTTCTCTTCCTGATTATTTACAGGAAAAAGGGCAGAAGTTGCAGCTGTGTGTCATGTGACTCGGGCCATATAGCCACATTCCTCTCAAGGCTCAGAAATAATTTAAAGGTCCAACAGCTTTAAGTTTGAATTATTTCATTTCACACCTTCAAAATCAGCCATTGGGAGAGAGAGGAAGTAGCTGGGAGTATACTTGAAATCAAATCAGCCATGAGTTGATCATTCTTGAACTTAAGTTATAGTCCATAAAGCTTCATTATACCAGTCTCTCTACTTCCAGAAATGTTTGAAATTTTCAATAATAAAATCAAAGAAAGGATAACAACATCCTCCTTTTCCTCCCACTCCCTCTAAGAGTAAGGGGTAAAAAATTAAAAAATAAACACCAAGAAGCTGTGCTGGGCCTAAGGGCTCAATAGCTGTAAGGTCTGTTCTTTTTACCCTGAGCAACAAGCCTGTAGCCAATCATGAGTCCTGAACCCTGGAACAACAACAAAAGAGCCATTCTGCTCATTTTACAAACATTGATTACATGTACAACACTGTGCTAGTTGAGATAGACTCCTGAAAAGAGTCAAGACACAATCCTGGCCCTTGAGAAGGTCACAACATTAAAAAAAAAAAAAAAAAAAAAGCCAAAAACTGTATTGGGGAAGCAGTATTGCTGGTACAGTGTTAATGTGCAAGCATAACATACACAAGCCACATGAAAACTTGGAGGAGCACCTAAGTTTGCCTCTAGTTAACCAGGGCAGGTTTTCACAGAAGAAACAGCTTTTGAGTTAAAACTTGAAGACTGACTTGGTGTTTGCCAGGACAAGAACCAGGAGCAAGAGATCATTTGAGGAAGAAGGAAATGAATTTGCAACACATGGCATGAAACTGCAAAGACACATTTTGGGAAGTACAGTTTGTTTTATTTTGCTAGAGTTGGGGAGGGGTGGTTACCTAGGACCTGTTCCCAGCCTGCATAGATCACCATAGTTTACCTCCCTTGTTCTTGGTGTGAGACAAGGAGAAAGCCTTGCCTGGGACCCTTTCCAAATTCAAGGAAACCTCGTAAGTTGTCGGTCAGGCTGCATTTTGGAGCACAGACGCAATCCAAGAAAGATTTATAACAAAGAGGAAACTGAAGGGGTTTAAAGCCCAACAAAAACATGTGATGTGAGCGGCAACAACCTACTTCCTACAATTATAGATCCTGAGGAAAGCAGGAAGATGAGTCAGTCAAAAACCAATGTTCTCAACTTCTTTACCGTCAGCAGTAGGCTTTTTACACAACGCAAGTTTATACAGACTCTGTGTCACCTAGTATTTATTGATATTTCCAAACAAATCCTTTCCTCTTTTATTATTAATGTACAATTTAAGTGTTCATTTAAATTAAGTAGTTGGATGTACTTATTTCAAAATTACAGATTATACATGAAATACCTTAAGAGTTGCTGTGAATACTTGAGAGAAGTGATAGCAAATCAATTAGCATTAAAAAATTCTTAACAAAAGACAACTGGGCAAAATGGTGCTTTAGCTTTGGATTTTTTTTTTTTTTACAGAATGTGGAGTGTTTTGTGTGACCGTATCTAGCTCTATCGCCTAGGCTGGAGTGTAGTGGCACCATCATAGATCACAGCGACCTCAAACTCCGAGACTCAAGGAATCCTGCTGCCTCAGCCTCTCCAGTAGCTAAGACTACAAACGCACACCACCACGCCCTGCTATTTTTTTTGTTGTTGTTGTTTTTGGTAGAGACTGGTCTCCCTATGTTGCTCAGGCTGGTCTTCAATTCCTGGCCTCAGCGATCCTCACGCCACCGCGGGCTCCCAGAGCGCTGGGATTACAGGGCTGAGCTACCGCGCTTGTGAAAAGGCGTATGAAATGGTTTAGAAATCAGGGCCTTTGCCATGTGCCTTGCACAGTAAACTTCACAAACTTCTGTTGAGCGATTTCACAACGGCGGTCCCACGCCCGCCCCCAGGGAAGCTGCCTGTTTCTCTATGGGTTACTTCCTCTGGCTTCAGGGGTGCTAGACGTCCGACAGCGTAGGCTCTCCCCTGCCCCAGGGGTTCCTGACTGGCGCAGGCCCTCGCCTCAGCCCACGAGTTCCTGAGGGCCCCGGGACCGCCCAGAGCCAGACACTTGGCGGCAGCCAGCCCGTCACGCCTGCGCACGCCGCCGCGAGTCGGGCGGGGCGGGGCCAGGGTTGACCCCGCCTTCCACCGCCTGCCCCACTCCGCGCCGCCAGGTGCGCTTGCGCCGAGGCCCCGCCCCCGCCTAGTCTCACTGGGGCTGGAATCCGCGGCGGTTGGCGGGCTGTGGAGTCTCTGAGCTCCTCAGCGGCCTAGCCCGCGCGCTCCCTGCGGGCCGCCTGACGCGCGACCCCCGCCCCTCATCCCGTCTCGTCAGCCCGGCGGTGCGGCCATGGCGTGGCAGCGGCGGCCCAAAGCCGGCGTCGGGGCTCATGGCGCGCTGGCGCTGCTAGCCCTGGCCCTGTGCGCGCCCGGGGCCCGGGGCCGGGCGCTCGAGTGGTACTCGGCAGTGGTGGGCACCGAGTACGTGGCCCCGAAGACGAACCTGACGGTGTGGAGCGTCTCGGAGAGCGGCCGCTTCGGCGACAGCTCGCCCAAGGAGGGCGTGCAGGGCCTGGTAGGGGTCCCGCGCGCGCCCGACGGAGACCCCGAGGGCTGCGCGCCGGACACGAGCTTCGTAGTGCCCGGCAGCCGGGGGTCCGCGCCCTGGGTCGCCCTGGTGGCGCGCGGGGGCTGCACCTTCAAGGACAAGGTGTTGGTGGCGGCGCGGAGGAACGCCTCGGCTGTGGTCCTCTACAACGAGGAGCGCTACGGGAACCTCACCGCGTCCATGTCCCACTCGGGTGAGCGCGGCCGGGGCGGGGCGCGGGACCTGGAGCGGGACCTTTGCGCAGGCAGCGGCCGTGTTGTGGGTCGAGGCGGGACTTTGATGGCCTCCGGCTGTCGGAACTTTTCGGGAAGTACTTGATGTGCTCAGAGTGGCTCCCAGGGCGCTGTTGGAAAGGAGGCAGGTCTACGGACAAGATTTGATCTTTGCCTTTGATTGTTGAGGTGAAAGGAAGTGCCGTCTGAGGAGGCAGTGAGGCGAACTAAAATTAAAATCCAGTGGAGGAGGATTGTGGTTCTAACCGGTGGGAAATTTCATGATCCCTAATCATGGATTGTGGTTCTAACAGGTGGGAAGTTTCATGATCCCTAATCATGGATTGTGGTTCTAACAGGTGGGAAGTGTCATGATCCCTAATCATGGGTCCCTTTCCATTAACCACTCCTCAAAGTCAGGGCTGGGGGTGGTGTATAGGAATTGAAGCTCTTCCCCAACGCACTCCAGGATCGGATTGTCCTTTAACCAACATCAAGTGATGTCTTGGTGGCACTCCGATTTCTTCACTTTCATGAAGTATGTGTAAATATTCTAAACTTGGAGTCAGAAAACCTGGATTTAAGTTCGGTATGTTTTCTCACTTCCTAAATATAGGATTATAACACTGGCTATACTTCCAGTCACATTCGTTGGGTCTTGAGTTAAGGTGAAATTTTAAAAGTTAACTTGTGTTCATTCAAGAAAAGACCTTGCTATAATGCGAGGTGACCCTCCCTACGTACTCTCTGCCCAGAGAAGTAGGTTTCATCTTCAGGCATTAATGATAGTTTAAAAGCCTTAAATTTTGCAAAATGTCATCCTTGGAACTGAATTCTAGGTAAGGCACAACAGTACACAGAGAGAGAACATATTTCTGTTATGCTTTCTAAGATCACATTTGCTTTATGCCTCAGTGGCGATTGAGTCATTCTATACTTTGATCCTCACCCCACCCCCAAGTTTCTGCTGTTACTAAGTTGGACATCTTTTTTCCTGTACTTCTGTCTTTTGTTCTGTTTTGGCTTTTTGAATGCAAGTTCAGGACCTAACAGTAAAATGAGGACAGAAAAGTAGCATTGGATTTGGCCTGTTGGAGTGCTGGGAACCTGACAGTTGACTGGTGAGGAAGTGGGGACTGTTAGGACTACTCTGTTGAGAAGGTTGCCTGAAGATTAAGAGGGATGAGCAGAAACTGTAGGGGCAAGAGAGGGTAGTGCAGGAGATGGTAAGGTGTGGTTGAAATTGGGTGGAGTGATCTGTAGAGACCCAGGATAGAGGTGACTGAATGCGTCAGTCCTTTAGAAGGCTAGGTACAGAACCTTGTGAAGGTTTGACCTCCTCACAGGGACTATTCCTCAGTTGCAGCAGGAAAGAGGGGGTGAGAATGAAAGCACATGTCCATGTGATGGCATGTAGCTAGGCACCACCTTTGGTACAGTTATTCCAGTGATTTCAAATCTACTTAATTATCATTGTACCTGAGACATGTTTCCACAAGACTGTCGTGAAAGGCCCTGTCATATTTCATATAGCATTCCAGATACAGCCTATCAACGGTATTACCAAGTTTAGTAGTTTTGTCAAAGAAAAGAGGTTAGTGTGCCATGATTCCCTGATGCTGTTTCCTGTATACACATCTTAAATAGAATTTTTCTTTTAAATGGCAGGCTCAACAGCCTACAGTTTTCTAAATCTATTTACTACATTTTTTGACTTATTAATGACTTAAACATTTTTCCAGGCTAGTAGCAGTTGTTCTAACCATGGTTCAGCAACCTTGCTTACATTATTGGCATATAATTTATCCAGGCCCAGAAAAACACCTCTTTGTTGTTAATTTGAAATCCTCTTCTTGGGTCCTTTTGTTCCCATTATTACACAAGAGTAATCTGTTTGAGAGAAAAGGCAAAAGAAGCAAAATTAACAATTTTCTTAAAAATGTGTTAAAGTACACAATGTGTAGACAGTGTGCTCAGTGTTCTACATAGAGTAGATCACTTAATGTTCCCGAAAGCCCTTTCAGGTAGATACTTTAACCTTATTGTACAAATGACGAAACTGATGTTCAAAGAATTAAAATGATTGGCCCAAGATAACAAGATGATCTATGGCCAGATAATTCTTTGTTGGAGAGAGGGCTGTCTTGTGCATTGTGGGATGTTTAGCTGCATCCCTGGCTTCTACTCACTGTATCCCAGGTAGCATTCCCACAGTTTGACAATCAGAAATGTCTAGATGTTGCCAAATATTCATAGAGTGGGGAGGGGGTTACAAAATCATCCGACATTTTGAATCACCTTTATTTTATTTGGTAGCAGTGTGACTACTAATGGATTAAACAGAGGAAAAGCTAGAAACAGAGAATCCAAGTTAGACTGTTTGGCTAGTTCAAATAGAAATATAAGGGCCAGTACTATAGTGGTGACTGCAGAAAATGATGAAAAGACCCTTGCAGAACTTGGCCCAGTTAGGTACATGAGTACAACTATATTGTGACATTTGAGAATGGAATTTAGAAGTCAGAAGAGGAGCCAGCTTTTGAGATACTTGAACTCAAGGTGACCATGGAGAGCCTGGAAGTCAGCTCAGACTTAGGCTTCCTATATTTTGTCAAAATGTGGCTTGAGCCAGGAAAAAACTGCTGATTCCATGGTTCTCAGTGTTCTTGTGTAATACTGGTTTTCTATGAAATAGGTAGAGGTTGTCTGCCTGTAAAATTGAATACTGGAAGTCCCTTCACAAGTCTCAGAATTTCTCCAGTTTTTCTGAAACCTATTGTTTGCCTCTACTAGAAGCCAGCAAAAGATGCTTTTTGGATTTAAATCAGTATCTTATTTTGGCTCTAAAAAAATTATGATCTCGGCCGGGCGCTGTGGCTCACGCCTGTAATCCTAGCTCTTGGGAGGCCGAGGCGGGCGGATTGCTCAAGGTCAGGAGTTCAAAACCAGCCTGAGCAAGAGCGAGACCCCGTCTCTACTATAAATAGAAAGAAATTAATTGGCCAACTGATATATATATAAAAAATTAGCCGGGCATGGTGGCACATGCCTGTAGTCCCAGCTACTCGGGAGGCTGAGGCAGAAGGATCACTCGAGCCCAGGAGTTTGAGGTTGCTGTGAGCTAGGCTGACGCCACGGCACTCACTCTAGCCTGGACAACAAAGCGAGACTCTGTCTCAAAAAAAAAAAAAAAATTATGATTTCAAGATAATATTCTGTCAAAACAAACATAAGGACTGTTACAATAATGCCCAAAGTTATTTCCATTTACTTTAGTGGACTTATATTGATTGAGCAGCCACTTTGGGTCAAGTATTATACCTGCTGAGGGATAGAAATGCATAAGACACATGCCTGCCCTTGAGGTGTTTATGTTCTAGTGGGAATGGTAAACAGAACTTTCCAGACAATATGGTTTGGATCTTGACAGAATTATATGCATAGGTGGTTAGGAAGCATAGAGGAAGGGCGTCTAATCCGGGTGTTGCAGAGGTGTAGAAGTTAGCTTGACCAAGATAGGTAGAAATTGATAAAAGTCAAATCATCAAAATGAAAGCTTTTATGGAGTATTGGCCTTAACATAGATATGTTGGTTAATAAACAGGCTGATCCTTTAACTAGAATCTTGGCATAGTCTTTTAAGAGTAACACTTTTGTTTTTCTAACAGTTCTTTACTGAGTGCCAAGTGCTAGCAAAGTTTAGAACTATGTTTGAGGAAAGGGCCAGAGTTGGGATGGTGGGGGGCAGGAGAGGTTACAAATATCCCTGTATAAGAAATCCCTTACCTTTAGAGAGTTCACGTATTGAGAGAGGTGTGCTTGTATTTGCCGAGCATAGTAAATAGTAATTTGTGAGTGAATAATAAATTCTTGATGATCTTTAATGCTACATTGTCACAAATAATCTAAAAGTTTAGATTTGAATTTAAAATGTGTTTTGGTGCTACAGGAAGACAGAAATGGTACCTTATAGCCTAGAACAGTTCCCAGAAAGGTTGAGTTTTGAAAGACAAGTTAAAGTCTATGGGGAAAAATTGTGTAGTGTGTGGTAGAGGTAGGTGGGCTATAAGGCATTCTGAGTGGTAGAAGTAGGGCTGCAAAAGAGTTCTCAGTGAGATTGTTGAGTAGTATATTTGATAAATACAGACTATTGTTGAAGAAGCCAAATTGTCCAAAACATAATTTAAAATTCTACAGTGCCATGAGGGTCCTCCTTACTCACCCTAGCCAGCCATAAAAACATTTATATAATGGCTTCAAACTTCCAAGACATTTACATTTGTGTCTAGTGTACTATTTCCCCTGCTAAGTAGTCTGTAATTCTCCTTATTGGGTCATTTCAACTGTAGTACTAGAAGGTAAGCCAATTGTTCAGATTGATGCATTCATGCAGAAACTCTTTTATGGGACATCACTGCTTGATGCTGGAGCTACAGAAACTAATAAAGAACAGGTAGTACTTGTTTGGTGAGGGAAGGAGACCTATAAAGACATTATAGTAGGTGTGTAACAAGAGATATATCTAAGAGGCATTGATACATTGACTGCAGGTGGTCTGAAAAGCCTTCAGTAGAACTTATGCTGGATTTTAAAGATTTGACCAGGAATTCTCCAGAAGGGGAAAAAGTGGAGAGTATGGCAGTTATTAGAAAAAAGAAAACTTGGAAGTTCTTGGAATTCTCTTGCTGGAACTTTAAAATGTGATTTCTTGCTGCCTGAATTAGTTTTCTAGAACAGAAATCTAATCCACTACTTTAAATATTTCAGTAGCTCCCATCTCCTTCAAGAGAATGTTGAAATCAACTTGCTTGTGAGAAGAAATAGTACACTACTAGCCTCAAATGTCATCTGAAGCTATTGGCCAAGTCAGAATTTTTTACTTTTTTTTTTTTGGTTGGTTTTTGACAAGGTGATAAGAGGAACACAGAAATTTGGAAAGAAATGGAAATACAATTTTACTTTTGGCACAGAAGAATTTTAAATTATATTAAAGTATTTGGCTTGCTAAAAAAATACTATATTTGATATTTATTAGCAACAAGTAAGTTTAGGATCATGTAGTGAGTGCAAAGACATTGTGCTAAGTGTAAGACAAAAATAAAACTGAAACTACCTTCAATGAGTTTTTCTGTCTAATGGTGAGGTGTATAGGTTTTTTTGGAGGGGGAGAGATTGTGTGATGACATTTAGTCAAGTAAGATTGGTGGCAATGATAAGCCTAGGGGAACAAAAATTCTAAGGACTTTTTCTCTCTGGTCCCAAGTCTTTGAGTATCTGTGCTTTCTCTGAAGAAATTCAGCTATTTAGTTTGGAAATAAACTGTGATTTGCTCTCATGTACCAATTAAGGCACAGTTGTACAAAATAACTTGAGCAGCTTAGCTCTTTAGGATTGGCCCAGAGGAGCGGTGATGCCTCCAGAGGTAACGGGTGGTGCTGGCTGCGGTGCCTGTGCCTGGCACCTCTTGGGAGTGTGCAGGTACTGACCCTGAGCAACTGCCCTGCCTCCTGTTCTGCTCCAGAAATGTTCCGGAAAAGCAAATCACAGAATAGAAAGAATCTTCATTCTGAGTTTTGTTAATATAAAATAGTTTCCAGAAGCAGTCTTGCTGCTATGATTATAGTATAGTATGATTATAGCAAACTGTTCAGCCCTCATCCTAGGATGTTTAAAAAAATAAATAGGCCGGGCGCTGTGGCTCACGCCTGTAATCCTAGCTCTTGGGAGGCCGAGGCGGGCGGATTGCTCAAGGTCAGGAGTTCAAAACCAGCCTGAGCAAGAGCGAGACCCCGTCTCTACTATAAACAGAAATAAATTAATTGGACAACTGATATATATATATATAAAAAATTAGCCGGGCATAGTGGCACATGCCTGTAGTCCCAGCTACTCGGGAGGCTGAGGCAGAAGGATCACTCGAGCCCAGGAGTTTGAGGTTGCTGTGAGCTAGGCTGACGCCACGGCACTCACTCTAGCCTGGACAACAAAGTGAGACTCTGTCTCAAAAAAAAAACCAAAAAAAAACAAAAAATAAATAAATAATTTCTTTTACCTCAGTGAGCTAAGATTAATTTCCTAGGTGAGAAATTTCAGATTGATATTACAAGTGTTTTCAGCTCAGGGAGTCTGATATTCATGATGGCAATGTCCCTACTTAGTCTTGAGATTTTAGGTGTTCAAGAACCTCTCTAATCTCAGTTAATCTTCCACCTCAACTGGGCTGATCACCATCCCAAATATGTATTTATGATGGTTTCACAGTCTAGCAAACCTCCCTTCTTTTGTTTGGCAGACTGTTTTTCTCTTTTGAAATGTGGCTCAAATGTTCCTCCTGGGGAAAGATTTTCCTCCACCCCAGACAAAATTATTCCCTTCTGCAGCTCTTGGTGTTTGCTTGTTAAATAAGCAGCAGTTCAAAATAGGATCATTCTCATTTCCATTTTATAGTTACAGAAACATTCTCAGGATCAATTTGTCCAGACCTCCAGGCAGTGGATACTAGAGTTAAGATTTGAACCCTGATTGTGTGGCTCTGACACCTGTGTCCCCCATGAGGGGGGACAGGGAAGGAATGCTACCTCAGAGCTGGATCTTCAGACCTTAGAAGTGGCTTTTTAGGTGTTATATGACATTGAGCAACTCACGTAAGATATCTGAGCCGTTGGCTGAGGAAAGGTAATGTGGCCTTTTTCTGTTTCAAGTGAGATATAAATATGAAAGTGCTTTACAGTTGGTTTTCCCCATTACCACACAAAGAAGGTGATAACCAGTACCAGAAACTCTATCAGCTATAATCATAGCATAGAAACAGATTTTTTTTCCTGTATAAAAACTTTTAACTGAGATGGGAACATGGAACATTATACTGTTCTTTCTACTTTAGAACGTACTTGAAATTTTTCACAAAGGAAGGTTTATAAAAAAGGCTTTTAGCTTGTAAAGTGCCATATAATTAGCATAATTGTTTCTATACATATCTTTCTGGTAGATGTTGATTTTCCTGAAGGCAAGAAATCCCTTTTTCCTTACTGTGTCTCCCCAGTGATGACAGGGTAGGTCCTATGAGTGCCGAGAAACTATATTTCTTGCTATGGGACACTTTTAGGTTCAGGTGGGTCATAGGATCAGCTTCCAGACAGGAGCCACCTTAGAAGGGTACCCTTCTGGTATTTCAGTAACTAAATCCTGATAGCTGAGATCCACAGTGGATTTGCTACAGATTAAATTTATCTCTTCAATAAAATAGTCTTAAAATGTGATTTTGTGTAACGGCAGAACATTCTTTATACACATTTAAAATTATTTTTGAATAGGTAATGTATTCACACAGTACAGAATTTTTACTTTGCAAAATAAGGCTCCCACTGTACCCTGCAGCCACCAGCTGCTTTCCCCAAAAGCAGTCACCATCCCTAGTCTCTAGGGTAGCCTTCCAGAGGTATTGTGTTGGTAGGAGCGTACAGCTCTGTGGGGAATTTTTTAAGGACAGCATGCTGTCCACACGGTTTTATATGTTGCTTCTTTTGTCTTCTGTCTTGAGTATTATCATTCCTTTACAGAGCTGCTGCTTCAACATTTATACACATACTGTAATTTATATAGATAGCTGTTTTCTTTTTTGATAAACATTTAGATTGTGATGTTTAAAATTTAGGAAAAATTGTTGACAATAAATATCTTTATAGGTACCTCATTGTATACATGTGTAAGAACATCTGTGCAGTTAAGTTCCTAGACATAGAATTGCTGGCTCAGAAAGTCATGCATTCAAAATGTTTTGATAGCATTGCCTTCTGTACAAGAGTGTAATCATTCACTCTCCCAGCAGTGTGCAAGAGTGCTGATTTATGCTTACTCTTACCAATGTAGTATATCAGACTTTTTGATCTTTGCCAGTTTTACAGGTAATGTGTTTTTATTTGTATCATAACTTTTCATGTGTTTAAATCCGTTTCCTAAGGAAAGACGGCCAGTGGGCACAGGTTTCTTTTTGGGGTGATGAAAATGTTATGGTATTAGATAGTGGTGATGGTTGCACAGCTTTGTGAACCTACTAAAAACTATTGAATTGTGTACTTTAAAAGGAAGAATTTTATGGTATATGAATTATATCTCCATAAAGCTGCTATTTCAAAAACCTATTTGTATTTTCTTTTCTGCAAAACAGATTCATTTCCTTTGTTTTTCTATTCTTTTTGTTATAGGAAATTAGTTTTTTGTCTTTGTTATGATACATCTATTTTTCCTAAGTTATTTGACTTTTGACCTTGATGTTACTGTCTTTTAGCCATGGAGAAAATTTTTCTTTTTCTTTGGTCAAATCTTTTTTTTTTAGAAGAACCTCTGAGGTAGTTTCCATACTTAGCAGAAGTTTTTCTCCAATATCTCATATTTTTAATTCCCATGTTTCTTCTGGCCCATGTGTTTTCTCTCCTCCCACCCTCTTTTTTTCTCTTTTCTGTTTGAGATAGTCTCTCACTCTTGCTACCCGAGCTAGAGTGCAATGGCATCATCATAGCTCATTACAACCTCAAACTCCTGGGCTCAAGGAATCCTCCAGCCTCAGCCTCCCGAGTAGCTGGGACTATAGGCACACACCAAGATGCCAGGCTAGTTTTTCTATTTTTAGTAGAGATAGGGTCTCCCTCTTTCTCAGGCTGGTCTCCAACTCCTGAGCTTGATCAAGCTATCCTCCAGCCCTTGGCCTCCCAGTGTGTTAGGATTGTAGGCATGAACAACCTCACCCAGACTGTTTTCTCTTTTTTCAATATATTTAAAATCTTTGATTTACTTGGAATTTATTTCCATGTAAGTTGTGAGAAAAGGATGCAGCTTTTTCCTCCCAAATCATACCTACTTAACCCTACATGATTTTTTTTTTAATAATTCATTTTACCCTATAGCTTTGGAATGTGCTTTTATCATGCACTAAGTTCTTTCATGTATTGGGTCTATTTCTGTACTTTTTATTCTGTCTCATTCTGTGGGCATCTTCATATGTTACTACCACACTGTTTTAATTACCTTTAAAGACTAGTCCAAGTTTTACTATTTAAAAAGTTTCTTGATCATCTTATTTTTCCCCTAAGTGAACTTTAAGCAGTGTTTTTAGGTTTTTTTTTTAAATCACATTGATAACTTATGATTATTGCATTAATTTATGGCTAGATTCCTGTAAAATTATTTATTTTATTCCCTTTTTTCTCTCTCTGAATTTATTTTATCTTGTGTCTACTTATGCCCTCAGAGCAATGTGAAATAATAGTAATCATAGTAGAAATTCTCATACTGCCTCCCTGATTTTAATGGACATGCTTTAGGCATTATGTATTAATATTCATAAGTGAAATTAGTCTATATGGTTCCTTAAAGTTTGGTGCTAAACTCACTTGTGAAACTGAATGGTGCTCTGGCTTTGGGGAATAGTTCTTAGTGACTTATTCTATTACTTCTACTGTAATCGGTCTGTTTTCTTTTGGAACCAGTTTTGGTAATTTATAATGTAAATGTACAGATAAGCATAGTACTTTTATATTTCTCTTAACTTTCTTTGTATCTTATTTTGTACTCTTTAATTGGTTTCTTTGTTCTTTCCTACAGGAACAGGAAATATAGTGGTCATTATGGTTAGTTACCCAAAAGGAAGAGAAATTTGGGAGCTGGTGCAAAATGGAATTCCAGTAAAGATGACCATAGGGATTGGCACTCGTCATGTACAGGAGTTCATCAGCGGTCAGTCTGTGGTGTTTGTGGCCATTGCCTTCATCACCATGATGATTATCTCATTAGCTTGGCTAATATTTTACTATATACAGCGTTTCCTATATACTGGCTCACAGTTTGGAAGTCAGGTAATTTTGGATAACTCTTTTAATTTTGCTTTTTAAAAGATAGTTCATGAATAAATGTCATGTACTGCTTAAAGTTATATTTGACCATATTCTTAATTTTATTTTCACTCATGATACTTAAGTAGTCATAATGACTTTTTAAAAAGAATTTTTTAATTGGAGTTATATTAAATTTTCTGTTTTGTGGAAAATTAGATACCTTTAAACTGGGGCTTTTTTTGCATGTTTGGTTCCTGCAGGTACATTCTTTGCCTTTTTCCAGGCATAGAAGAATGACAAACAAGCATGAGACAGAATGGAACTGCCCTCATGTAACCCAGGTTCTCTGACTAGGCCCTAAAGGCAAAGTGTAGAGAGGAAGAGCCTCCTGTCTCCATTGTGGAGCAGCTGGAAAGCCATTTGTCTGTCTCAATGACAGAAAAGAGGATAGTCCAAGAGCCAGAAGCTTCCCAAGGCAGGACATTTGAACTCACATTTAACTCTGTCATGGTGAAATGTTGACATCTCTGACTTGATGACTAGGAAGGACCTTTCTTTTTAAGAACCTTAATAGATGAGTATATGGGATCCCGTCCTCACTTGTTACTTTCTTCCCAACATTGAAATAGAGGGATTGAAAATGAGTTGTTTTCGGACAGGTGCATTGGCTCATGCCTGTCATCCCAGCACTTTGGGAGGCAGAGGCGAGAGTACCACTTGAGGCTAGACGTTGGAGAACAGCCTGGGCAACATAATGAGACCTCCTTTCTCCAAAAAATTTTAAAATTAGCCCAGCCTGGTAGCATGTACTTGTAGTCCCAGCTACTCGGGAGGCTGAGGCAAGAGAATTTCTTGAGCACAAGAGCTCAAGACTACAGTGAGCTATGATCACATCATTGCACCCTAACTCGGGCAACAGAGCAAGACTGTCTCAGGGAAAAAAAAAAAGAAGAAGGAAATAAGTATTTTTGATCTCATAGCACTTATGTTACATATAGCTGTTCTTCTATATATTAAGATTTAAATGGTTTTTTTATTGTTTTGGAGGGTTTTTGGGTTTTTTTTTTAAGTTATATTCAGTATAGTTCTTTGACTTTGCCTTTTTTCTTTTTTTTAAATAAAATATATTTTTGCTTCTTTTTTTTTTTTTTTCTTATGTTTGTTTTTGGCAGTGCCCAGCAACAGGAGACTTTGCTTTTTAAATGAAATTTTTCTATAGGCTTATATGTGTGAATTTCTTTAAAATAGTGATTTAATTTACATTTTTCAATAACAATAAATATTTTCCTACCCAAGAGCCATAGAAAAGAAACTAAGAAAGTTATTGGCCAGCTTCCACTTCATACTGTAAAGCATGGAGAAAAGGTAATATTTTCATGAATTTTGTTTTGTTATGTGATTTAGACTAAGCAGTGTATATTTATGTGCTTATTCTGCCATATGAGAAGAGTCTTCCAGACCTGTGCTAGCCACTAGTCACATGTGGTGATGGTGATTTACATTTAAATGAGTTTAATTTAAAATTTAGTTCTTCAGTCATACTAGCTACATTTCAGGCACTCAGTAGTCACAGTGATTGGTTGCTGCCCTACTGGACAATGCCAGCATTCCCACCAGTGAAAAAGTTGTGTTGGTCTGACCCAGAATAACTATGAGGAAACTAAAGAATGTAAAGTCTACACCCTAGATCCTTGACCTTAAACTCTTTTCTGTTAAATCTGAGACTACTTGTCCATTCTCTGTGATTCCATTAAATAGAGGGAGAAAATATTGGGATTTGTGGAGAAGAAGGGGAGAAACTTGTTTTTGAAACTACTTTTTAAAAAAGAAACATTTTGATGTGGCCAATCTGAGACTTAAAAGTTCAAAATCATACCAGAATTTTAAAACATTTTTGGCATAGGACAAATCCTGAATCTAGAACCTCAGATTCTTAAAGGGATGCTTTCAAAGGAAAACTATTCCTAATGCAGTAATATTTATTCTTTTAATAGTCTGTCTTATGTGCCATGAAATGTTGATAACTGTTGACTTGTAGCTATGAATTGTTCAGGTATTTTGATTTTCATGTTATCTAAGTTGCTATTCCACCCTCCAGTCTCCAGTCCCCCTTCAAAAAAAAAGAGTAACTATACTTACAGTATAATCTCTTCCTCTGACTTTAAAGGTTTAAAAGAAAAATAATACATTAAATTATAGATATTTGATTCTTTTCTAATTTGGAATTTGGTGTTAATGGTTTATGTGATATGTTTAAACTTAAGATACTCTTAGAATTGTATTGGTAGGTACCATTTCTTCCCTAATAGCTTTTACATTATAGTATAGTTCAATTTTAATAGTTTGTCCAAGGTACTGGTTTCTTTCCATGCAAATGTGTTGAATAGAAAAAGTTAAAAAATAAAAACAAAAAACATCATAGTTTAAGGTTAGTGTTTGATTTACAAATCACTGATGGTCCTTGGGGGGAGGGTTTCCAAGTAATACCTATGACAAAGTGCACACATTCAGCACAGCCAATTACTTGAGAAGCATGTGGTTTTACATTTTTCATGGAATGTGCCTTCTATTTACTCTCCACAGCAGGAAATCTCAGTTCTTAAGCATGAGAAATGTGTACTCATGTGTATAGTCTACTGAATTGAATCTTTGAGAACATAATACTAATATATAAATATAATTGTATAAATTAGATAAATATAATTAATATTATCCTCTTCATGTACAGAACATATTTGAAAATATGCCTCCAGGGACTGTTTTTTAAAAGTTGTCAGAGTAATGGTTAAAAAAGAGGATCCCTACATGGTTCATGAGTGTATACAGACAGTCCCCAGTTTAAAATGATTTGACTTAGGATTTTTCGACTTTATGATGGTGCAAAAGTGATACACATTCAGTAGAAACCATATGAATACTCATACAGCCATTCTGTTTTTCTCTTTCAGTATAATATTCAACAAATTACATGAATTTATCAAAACTTTCATAAAATAGGCTTTGTGTTAGATATTTTGCCCAGCGGTAGGCTAATGTAAGTGTTCTGAGCACATTCAAGGTAGGCTAGGCTAATGCGTGATGTTCATTAAGTTAGGTTTCTTAAATGCATTTTCAGCTTACAATATTTTTTTGGGGGGTTATTTTTTTATTTTTTCAAAAAATGTGTGTATATTCGTGGGGTACTAGTTCAGTTTTGCCACATTAATATATTGCATTGTGGTGAAGTTGGGGCCTTCAGTGTATCTGTTACTTGAGCAACACATGCCGTACCCAAGTAACCTCCCATCATCCCTACTCCCACACCCCCACACCTTTCTCGGTCTCCACTGTCCGCCGTTCCACACTCTGCTTCCACGGGTACACATTATTTAGCTTCCACTTATAAGTGAGAACATGTGATATTTGTCTTTCTGTGTCTGAGTTGTTTCTCTTAAGATAATGGTCTCCAGTTCCATCCATGTTGCTGTAAAAGACATGATTTCATTCTTTTGTTATGGGTGAATAGCATTCCGTTGTCCACATACACCACATTTCCTTTATCTAATCCTCCATTGATGGACAGTTCCATATCTTTGCTATTCTGAATAGTGCTGTGATAAACATACAAGTGCAGATATCTTTTTTATATATTAGTTTCCTTTAGGTGAATACCCAGTAGTGAGATTGCTAGATCATATGGTAGTTCTATTTTTAGTTCTTTGAGAAATCTCCATACTGTTTTCCATAGAGGTTGCACTAATTTATATTTCTGCCAACAGTATATAAGTGTTCCCTTTTCTCCACATTCTCGCCAACATCTGTTATTTTTTGTCCTTTTAATGATAGCCATTCTTACTGATGTAAGATGATATCTTGTGGTTTTAATTTTCATTTCTCTGATGATCAGTGATGTTGAACTTTTTTATAGCTTGTTAGCCATTTGTCTTCTTTTAAAAATATATATTCATGTCCTTAGCTCACTTTTCAATGGAGTTATTATTTTTTTGTTGAGTTCCTTGTAAATTCTGGGTATTAGTACCCTGTCATATATATAGTCTGCAAATATTTTCTCCCATTCCCAGGTTGTCTGTTCACTCTGTTGATTTTTTCTTTTGCTGTGCAAAAGCTTTGTAGTTAAGTCTCATTTGTCTATTTTTGTTTTTGTTGCCTGTGCTTTTGAGGTCTTAGTCATGAATTCTTTACCTAGACCTATGTCCAGGAGCTAGATTTTCTTCTAGCATTTTTATAGTTTCGGGTCTTATATTCAAACCTTTCATCCATTTTTAATTGATTTTTGTATATGGTGAGAGATAAGGGTCCTCAATATAATATTTTCAACTTGGAGTGGGCTTATCAGGAGAGTTATAACCTCATGGTAAGTGGAGGAACATCTTTATATAGATTTTCTGGCAGTTTTACACCTTAAAGTTGTACAGAAAAATGTTTTTCTTCGATCTACATCTTATCCACTTCTGGACACTAGTGTTTGTTTTCTAATTCTTTCCTTCTGAACTCATTCATAGTAATGTATAAACTTGCAAACCATTGTTAGAGACTTTAAAAATTGTTTCATCCTTCTTGCCTATTATATGATAAATGAGTGGCAGTATTTACCTTCATTGCAGCATATAATTTAAAATGTTTAATTTTAATACAGTTTTTGATAATATCTGCATACAAAATCAAATTTTTACTGCTTTCCTTATTTAACAAGTGGTGCACATGGCTACATGTATTTTTAAATATAGTAATTACATAAGGACAGTGTAGCCGTGTTTCATAAAATAAACTTGCTCAAATCATAGTCATATGTAGCCATTCATTGATAGTTCCTGAATCTGTGTCCTAAAATCCCAGGAAAGAGAATCCTGTTGGTCTGTCTTGGATCAGATGACCACTCTGTTCTTGGTTGCTTTGGTTAGGGGTGGGGTGTGGATCATTTGTTACCTTGGGAAGTAGGGAGGGCTGACACCACTAAAAAGGTCTATGATCCATACATAGATTCTTAGAAGTGGAAATTTTGTCACAAGACTGCTTCCTCCCAGCAATTTTTGTTTTTTTCTATCTTTGTTAATTTGTTGGATGAAAAATAGTAACTTACGGTTTTGTAATTCTTTTATCACTAGTGAAGCAAATATTTTCAGATATTTAACCATTTGCATTTTCATATTTGCAAGTTGTAACTGTTCTTTAGCAGACGTAAATTTGGGTTTTTTTTATGATTCTAGAAAATAAGTAGCTTATTGTATAGTCTTTTATATTGTGAATTTTATGTTTGAAAAAAATTTATTATAATATAGCAGACAGTTATATTTCTATAGTCCTTAAAACATGAATACTTTATTTAAAAAAAACCCATGAACACTAGCTTCATAAATTATAAGCACTGTTCATGTCTGATTAGGCAGACAATGAAATCTTTTTCCTTTTCAGCCAAATTCTTTAGATTATTTCTTCATAGTGGTAAAAAGTAAATACCAAGTACAATTATTTGTGTTTTAGTTTCAGGTTGTGCCAAAGTAGAATAGAATTTATCATTGTTTAGGCAGGATGTAGTGATAATAATAATATAGTGAGTTTATCAAGCATATTCTATATATTAATACCAATAATAAAATCTTTCTTTTTACAGGCAATCGATGGTGATGCTGAAAATTGTGCAGTGTGTATTGAAAATTTTAAAGTAAAGGATATTATCAGAATTCTGCCATGCAAGTATGTTTTTTTTTTTTTTTTTTTTATCTACTAAGATGTTAAAAATTGCTTGACAGGTTTCAGGTTTCTGACAAAAGAGTTGCATATTTTTTATGATACAAAGATCCTGCTATCTTGTGACCACCTCATCTTTTAGAAAAGAAGTTTGAACTTGAATATTGTCTTCAAGACTCTTTAAAATTGTGTTGTTTAGGTGACTCTTAAGTGACCCTTAAGACTTATTAAAAATCTTTGTCATAGATCAGTTTTTAGTTTTGTAAGCAAGGCTTCATTAGAATCCTAGGCATTTCATTATACATTTAGCGAGGCAAAAAGTAAGCTGTGTTGGAAGCAAAGAAATTGAAGGACTCAGGGGAGAGGGCCTGGAACAGCCAGGAGTGGGTCAGGAGGGCAGTGGTTTGCACCCTCAGTTTGGGTTCTTTCTGAGGTTGTGCAAACTATGTATTCTTCCCTTTACTCTGGTTACACTAGGGGCTTTGTTTTAGCAACAGGAAGTTGCAGTTTTGTTTTATTTTGTTTTGTTTTAGCAATGGGATACTTTGATAAGTTTTTGAAAGAATTTCTTTGTTGGCAGAAGTGTTTATTTTGTGTACAGAAATTATCTTTAAGTCTGATCAAATGTAATATACTTCCCACCTAGTAGAAACAAGTCACAAGTTAATTTATAATTCTATTTTGCTTTGTTTGCAGAGTACTTTAGTATATGCACAAGTACTTTATAGTAGATTAAGTTCTTGATAACAGTTTCCTGAATAAAGGTAGCTGGCTTAAATCTGCAGGCATTTACATGGGGTTGGTGCAGTGGGTACTTAATGAATTTAGGTCAGTATAGGTTAATCATGTTCTGTAGAAAATTATTAAACTAGAAAAGAATTTTTACTCTATGGGTGGTTTAGGGCAAGTCTTCCTGACTTGGAAATGATGCTAATGATGCTGCACAGATGCACAGCACGAAGGCACTGGGGCTAAGCTGAGGTGGTGCTTGACTCTCAAGTGCATATATGTTACACCTGCATGTTCCAATGAGTTTTGACTCCCCCTCTGCATTTTCTTTTGCGCTTTATGTAACAAATTTCCCAATAAAACCAGTATGTTTCTTTTGTGTCTTTGTAAAAATTATACCTTAAATACTGTGATTCTTAACTCCACTAGCAGATTTCTGTTTGAAGAAAAAGTCTTCAAACATGAATAATTATTAAGTATGTTTGTTCCTGGCACAGTTGTATGTATGTTGCATGTCCCCCTCAGAGCAGCCCCTGGTGTAGGTGCATAGAGGGTAGGAATCTAGTTGAGAGTCATAGCTGGAGTTTGAGTCCAGTCTGTCTGGCTCTAAAACCTATACTCTTAATTCCTTTTTTTCATCACACATAGAAAACGGATTCATCACATAGGAAGAAAAGTTAGCTAACTAAGACAAATCAGTAAAAGAAGAAAATATATATCCCTTTTTTCATTTTTATTCTGAAAGTGATATATGCTTACTAAAGAAAAATATAGAGTACACAAAAATGTGTAAGAGAGAAAATAAGTTTTTAAGCTTACCATCCAAAGACGATTTGTTAACATTTGCTGCATTTCCATTTGCATCATTTTATATAAGTCATCTTATAAGATACTATCTTGTATGGTATAGTGTAAGTATACTATTGATACTTTATATAGTCATTTTAAATAAAGTAGTATCAGTTTAGAATTAGTTTATTTACTACTATTATTTTATGCCACATTTATTCCCAAAAGGATTTTAAATAACTTGCAAAGGCACATAAAAATGTACAAGCATGAGGTGAAAGTAAGCCATGCTATTTTTGTGGAGTGAATGGAAAATTTCACTAGAAGTGCCAGATTCTGTTTAACATGGAAGATAAAGTACATAATGATTTATGATAGATGAGTAGACTAGAATGTTGATTTGATGTCAGCTAACTTGTAATGAGAGGGTGAGTTGGTACAATGTCTTATTTCCTTTATAAGTTATATAAAACATTTATTTTAAAACATTAACACATACTTAATTTTTTTAGGCATATTTTTCATAGAATATGCATTGACCCATGGCTTTTGGATCACCGAACGTGTCCAATGTGTAAACTTGATGTCATCAAAGCCCTGAGATATTGGGTTTGTTACGTTTTTGTTTTTATTCAATCTCTGCCCCAGTTCTTCCTGAGTGATTAGATTTCATTATTGACCAGAGGCAAGAGGAATGGGCGAAATGCACCTTATAACATCCTTGTGGTTCTCTGAAGAAATTACTTTATTAGAAATTAAATCTAAAGGCAGTCCAAAAAAATCAATGCACTAAATTTATGATGATAGAATAATATGCTAGATGTTTCTCAGAGAGAACCATGAGCAATATGTTTTGGTTTACTACACTGCAGAATGTATATATGCCCATTAGTTTTGTATAAACAATAATCATAAAATATTTGAAATCTAAGGCACCTCATAAATTTTCTGGCTTAATGTACACATTTTACATGTGAGGAAATTGAAGCCAACACTTCTTGGTATCAGTTCTCCCCATTCCTGGGTTTCAAATAGTGCTGGGGAAATTTGTCCTGCATTGAGTTTGGCCCATCAGTTTGTGATACTTAGATGGTCATAGGGACCTTCCTCAGAAGACATGAGGGCAAAGTGGAAGAGAGATCATAATAGTAGGTAGCCATGTGCTGATGCCTTATATACATAATTATGTTTGATCCTCATGGCTGGTCTATGAAACTGTTACTATCCCTATTCTGCTAATAAGATACTCAAGCTTAGAGAAGTTACATAACTGATGTGAGGTCACACAGCTCATTAACGAGAATCAGCCTTCAAATTCAAGTTTGCTTAATTCCAGGGTTTACACTCTACCCAAAGAGGGGGACATAGAGGGAAAAAATAGCTTTTTCTAGGTGGTTATATTATTTTGTTTTTAGAGTCTCCATACAATCTATTATTAATGTCTCAAAATACTATTAATAATAAAGTTTTTAAATAAAGATCTTCGAGAAAAAGTAATTTATCAAATGATATTTTTCTGGCTGCTAAACATATTTTTAGAGTATTTTATAGATAGAGTTTATTATAGAATTAAAAACTATAGTGTTTTGTGGTTTTTAAAATTTTTTATTTATTTTTATTTTTATTTATTTATTTTTGAGACAGAGTCTCACTCCGTTGCCCAGGCTAGAGTGCCGTGGCATCAGCCTAGCTCACAGCAATCTCAAACTCCTGGGCTCAAGCCATCCTGCCTCAGCCTCCTGGGTAGCTGGGACTATAGGCATGCACCACCATGCCCAGCTAATTTTTTCTATATATTTTTGCTTGTCCAGCTTATTTTTTTTTAGTAGAGATAGGGTCTCGCTCTTGCTCTGTCTGTTCACTAACTTCTGAGCTCAAACTATCCACCCATCTCAGCCTCCCAGAGTGCTAGGATTATAGGCGTGAGCCACCGCACCTGGCCAGGTTTTGGGTTGGTTGGTTGGTTTTGTTTGTTTGTTTTGAGACAGGGTCTTGTTTCTGTTGCTTGGGCTAGAGTGCGATGGCATCATCATAGCTCACTGCAACTTCAAACTCCTGGACTCAACCCATCCTCCAGCCCAGCCTCAGCTTCCTGAATAGCTAGGACAATAGGCACATGCCACCGTGCCCAGCTAAATTTTCTATTTTTTTGTAGAGATGGAGTCTTGCTGTGTTGTTCAGGCTGGTCTCGAATTCCTGTTCTCCCGTGATTGTCCCACCTTGTCTTCCAAAATGCTAGGATTACTGGTGTGAGCCACCACACAGCAAATTTTATGATGATCAGTTTATGCAGCTTTAAGCCATAATGGCTATGGCTGTGTAAGCTTCTGTAAAGGCATGGCTAAAGAATTGACCCATGGCTTGAGCTCAGGAGTTCAAGACCAGCCTGAGCAAGGGCAAGACCCCGTCTCTACTATATATACAAAGAAATTAGCCAAACAACTAAAAATAGAAAAAATTAGCTGGGCATGGTGGTGCATGCCTGTATCCCAGCTACCCGGGAGGCTGAGGCAAGAGGATCGCTTGAGCCCAGGAGTTTGAGATTGCTGTGAGCTAGGCTGATGCCATGGCACTCTAGTCTAGGCAACAGAGTGAGACTCTGTCTCAAAAAAAAAAAAAAAAACAAGAGGCCTCACCCTTAATAACTACTATAATTCTCTGTGAATTATGGTTTTTAAATGTGAGTTCCAGAATGTCCTCACTATGTGCACACAGGCAGGGGGAAGTTCAGCATTCAAGAACTATCTTATTAGAAACTCAGAGAGTTTTGCTGTCTAGAAAATTTCTTTCCTTGAAAATTTCTAAATTATACTTATTCATGGTTTTCAATAATTGTAGCTCTGTTTAGCATGGTATAACATGCTTTCTTCGTGAACCTGGTCCATCCCCTCTCTCTGCTCCAGAAACTGTAGCTTAGATGAAAGGATGAGCCTTTGAGTAGCAGCATTTTAAATAATAAAATATAGGGAGCTTGACAGATTTTTTTCTTAGTGGAGTTTTAGAACTTTTTCCTTCATTAGATATCCCCTGAAGTTCAAAGTTGTTTTAAGGAATCTCACTGACTTTAGCACAAAGACTTTAATCCTCATGAGTTTTCTTTTTGGAAATATAGCTACATATGTATTCTTATATTAAAAATCAAAATTCTTCATCTTACATATGGTTGAGTTGCTTAGAATGTTAATTTCAGAAAGCTATAATATATATTAATATAGTATGTATATCCAGAATGATTATTTTTTTAAGAATAGAACCTATAGTTACTTTAATCTAAGAAATTTGCTTATCTTGCCTTTAAATTTTCCATTTTTAGACAATATGCTATTTTATTTAGACCCATCAGCCCCTTCTGCATTGGATTTTTAATTGACATGCTTTCTTGTAGTAGCTAGTTCTCTATTTCCTCATAGCCATAGTGAGAGTCACCAGTAGTCCTTCACACAGACTTTAAAGGCCATCTTTTGGTTTGCAGCTGGACCCACTTCAGTGTGCCACTTATTTTCATTCATTCGGCAAGCATTGATCAAAGAATTGCCATCTAAGGTGTTAGACCTGAGCTTGGCTCTGGAGAGACAAAGATGAATAAGACACAGCTGCTCCACTCATGAGCTCTTGGGGATTTCTCTTTGTGAACTGGTGGGGCCAGGGCATACACACAGACACAACATGGCAAGAGAGGCATGTTTGAGGTGCCGTCTGTGGGAGCATAGAGGAGTAATACGTCCCATGTCAGGTGGAAGCAGGAAGATGGAGGGAGTGGACTTGAGAGGGGCGGCTGAGCTGGGCATTACAGGATGCATCAGACACATCGGTGTATTGCTGGTCGATGATGTGTCCATGGGGGTGAAGCGATGGGTTGGATGCTAGCAGGCACTTAGGTTGGGGTCCGGCTGAGCAGGTGCTTGGGTGTTGTGGCGGCACCACAATTACAGGATTTGTCACTGGTGTGTCAGGAGCCGGGATGGGTGGGAGGGTGTTTAGTTACTGATGAGAGAGGGCAGGTTCCAGAACACAGGTGGAGAAGGGGTGCGGGGGCGGAGGGAGTAGCTGGCCAGCAGTTCCTGAGCCCTGAGAGCGCCGGTAGGGAGGTGGCACCCGTGAGGGGTGTTTTTACTTGAAGTAATGGTGAGACTCTAAGCCATGTGTTCACAGTCAACCTGCAGAAAGCCCTCACTTAGTAGGTCACTTGACCAGGAGCACGCACAACACAACTGAGACTCTGGTATTAATCAGAAGAGGTTTCTGCACATCCCCCAGTGCTGAGACTTAGTGTAATAGTGCTGATGGAGTCTTTGGCCCTCACTCTCCTTATTTTCTTTAAAACAGCAAGTGGCAAAGGGAGGGAAGTTAGAGGCAAACTGTAGCTGACAGACACCTCATCTACAATGGAGCCAGAAGTGATTGTTTTTTTTTTTGTTTTTTGTTTTTTTTAAGAAAATCAAAATATAGTCTGAAAGGCCTCTGATGCTCAGAGGCCTTGTTCATCTCTGAAACCCTAGTGCTTTACGGTAAGACAGCATGAGGCAATAATTAGAGTTCACGGCTATGGCCTAAATGAGCAGTAGGCAGCCAGACTGGATCCCATCCTCTGTCCAGGAGGCAGGGCAGCATGAGAAAGCTTCACTTCTGCCAAATAGTTTAAAAGGTAGCATTGCTTGTATCAAGGGGGGGAAATGGTTTTTAAAATAAAAAACATGTCATAGAAAGCTGGTTATTGAGAAGTAATTGGTTTTTTCATGGTAGATAAAGGAGACATTGATGTGCTTTTTGCCAGGTTCAGTGTATAAAAGTACAGAATATATTATATGAACGATGAGCCAGATGATAGATAAGCTTTGGTCATGTTACTTAGAAAAGGCATTTTCTTCTGTTGTGATTCTCTAGGGAGAGCCAGAGGACATGCAGGACACGCCTGCTCCAGAATCTCCCCCGGGCAGGCTTCTGGCTGCGAATTTGAGTCTGACAGTATCAGATGATGACAGAAGTGATGGGGGCAGTCGGCCATCGGCTCCCCGTGCTGAATCTGAGCCACCTTGTGATGCCAGCTTTAAAGGAGATGGAGGTGAAAACACAGCACTACTAGGTGAGAAGTCTGCAGATTATAAAACCGTGGAATGTCGTGAGTAGCTGAAAGAAATTAAGAAATATGTAAAATGCAGAAAAGCATAAAGGAAAAAATGGAAACCATAATCTCACACCTAAACATACCATTTTGACATTTTGATAAACATCTTTCCAGTTATTTTTCTAGAAATTTAAAGATGTTTAAGGATGGGGAAGCATCCCTTACATGCTGTTAACCTTTTTTACTTAATATATGAAATTCTTTCTGTGTCAATAAATAGGTAATTTTTTTACGGCTACCTAGAATTACATTTTGGATTTTCTGTAATTTCCTTAAATTACTAAGGGACATTTATTGTCATTAGCACTTTGAAGTCATTATGTGTATATATTATACTTATAACTTGTCTAATTTTCTGTCATTCTGACAGGTAAAATATGGTGAATTGCATTTGTTTATTGATGAGGTTATCCTCTTTTCATATTTGTTGATCATTTTTATTCTCTTATGAATTGCTCATTTAATTCCTAGATTTTCTATGGAGACACTATTTTTATATTCTTAGGGTTCTTTATAATTGAAAATATTAGGTCCTTGTCATATACTTTATATGTTTTCCCTCCAATTTCTGTCTCTTTGACCTTTTGTTGTGTTTTACTAGATAGAAATTAACTTTCATATCAGTTTCCCATTCTTTCATGATTCTGCCTTTGATAATATTAAGTCATGTTAACTTAGGAGGGTCTTTCTCATCTCAGGATTATAAAGATACTGATCTAGATTTTGCTAGTACTTGTGTTTTGTATTTTACATTTAAATCTTAATCCACATGAGTTAAGGTGTGAGGGGAAATTTAACCTATTTTTTCCCAAATGTTTAACCAGTTGTCCTCATATTTGGTGAATAATAATTATTTGGAAATAATACATTTTGGTATTTGCAAGACAAATTCCTTCATCTTTATTCTTCTCTTTAAAAATTTCTGCATTTTTAAAAAATTAATTCTAAATCATTTTGCTAAGTAAAAGAAAATAGCGTCAGAATTTTTACTGGAATTGAATTAACTAGGGAGAATTTATGCTTCTAATTTTTAATTTTGCTGTCCTAGAAAAAGGAAGCTTATTTTTCCAAAGCAATAAGATTCAAACTAAAACAGTTTGCTTCTAACATGTTTAAGATCTGTGAGGCAAAGATAGATAGAAATATTAGAACTTAAGTTTCAGACCAGTACCAGAGGAAGAAAGAATGCATTGTGAAAGAAAAAAGGAGAATGGATTTCAGAGAATTGTAAAAATGTAAGGGTTGAACTATTACAGGCATTCTCTTAACCAGCTCTCCAGCCAAGACTGGACCACTTTACAAGGCAAAGGTAGCATGTTGAATTTATTAAATGGCTCTTTTTTTTTTTTTTTTTTTTAGGAATTTCATATTGAGCCAGAGTGCATACTAGTGTGATTTTTGCCATTGCCTTCACACTCTAGAAAGAAAACTAATTTTTTTTTCTCTAGTACATGATTACCCTTGAGATATTTAAAGACAAATACCCTTACCCTAACTAAAGGTCCTTCAAAAGCAGTCTCCAGATTTTTCTACATTGTTGTTACTGGTAATGTATTACAGTTTACCATTGCTCAGCTTGATGACCGTTTAGAACTACGGTAATATAATTTGAAATAGTGGGTAGAAATAAAGAAGGTGGAAAGAGGAGAAGCTAAAACCATTCAATCCAACAGTCCCATTACTGGGTATCTACACAAAGGAAAAGAAATCATTTTATAAAAAAAATACCTATACTGATATGTTTATTGCAGTACTATTCACAATAGCAAAGACATGGAAATCATGTCTCATCTCAAACCTGAGTGTCCACCAACAGAGGATTGGATATGGATGATGTGGCGTATACACAAGCACACACACAATGAAATACTATTCAGCCATAAAACAATGAAATCTTGTCTTTTGCAGCCACATGGATGGAACTGCTAGAGGCCATTATCTTAAGGGAAACAATTCACACAGAAGGACACATACCACATGTTCTCACTTTTAAGTGGGAGATAAATAAGGTTTACACATAGAGTATGGAATGATAGTCATTGGAGACTCAGAAGTGGGGAGGGTGAGAGGGGATTGAGGGATGAGATCTTGCTTAATAGGTACAATGTACGCTATTTGGGTGATGCTTCCACTGAAAGCCCAGAGTTCACCACCATGCTATATATCCATGTAATAAAACTGCACTTGTACCCTTAGATTTATTTTTTAAAAGACTGGCGGGGGGTGGGGGGAGAGTGGTTTACAAAGCAACAGAATGTCAGGGTCTGAAGCAGCTGGGTTTCCCCTCCTCCCCATTCAACCATCTTTTTTGGCTTCACAATCTGTTTTCTCTCTTTGTAGTGTTTTTATTCCCAAGTATTGTTCACCAGCAAATTGACAGAGAATTTGTGTGTTAATGTTTCTTCTACCTTGTAACAGTAACAATATAAATTGAGAAAACATTAAATTAGAAACATCAGTTATTTTATGCAGACATTAGTACTTCCAGAGTCTTGCTCTTGCTCAGGCTGGTCTCAAACTCTTGGGTTCAACCAGTCCTCCCACTAGGATTACAGCCATGAGCCACTGTGCCCAGCCTACAGTTTTGTCAATTTAAAAAGTAAATATTTAAAACTTGGGGGAAAGTTTAATAAGGTTACTTAAATGTTATTTCATCATTAATTAAAAAGTTTAAATTGGCAAAAAAAGTATTTGATTTTGCTGCTATAGTTAAGGAAGTATTCTATTGCTGTAAGAAGGCTTTTGTGCTAAAGTAGACTTTGCACTCCTATTTTGTACTCCTAGTGATACTGTCTTTAACCACTTTGGTACGGCGCTCACTGGCCGCGAAACCTTGCCCACAGCCTGCATTAATAGTCTGCACGGGCCGGGCGCGGTGGCTCACGCCTGTAATCCTAGCTCTTGGGAGGCCGAGGCGGGCGGATTGCTCAAGGTCAGGAGTTCAAAACCAGCCTGAGCAAGAGCGAGACCTCGTCTCTACTATAAATAGAAAGAAATTAATTGGCCAACTAATATATAGAGAAAAAATTAGCCAGGCATGGTGGCGCATGCCTGTAGTCCCAGCTACTCGGGAGGCTGAGGCAGGAGGATCGCTTGAGCCCAGGAGTTTGAGGTTGCTGTGAGCCAGGCTAACGCCACGGCACTCACTCTAGCCTGGGCAACAAAGCGAGACTCTGTCTCAAAAAAAAAAAAAAAAAAAAAAAAAAATAGTCTGCACGATTAGTTTTTGCTGTGCATTGGTGACGAATCCATTTTGCTCTTGTGTGATAAGGAAAGCTTTAAAGCACTGAATGCTTGTTTTACTTTACAGGCAGCTTTACTTGTAATGTAAATCAGAATAGGTAACATATACATATATGTTTTTATTACATTATTTTGAAATGTTCCCAATTTTATTTTGATAAATGAAAAATTAGAAAAGTCATATCATGGCTGTCGGCTCAGTTAACGCTCGGCTGTGCGCCTTCATATCGTGGCTGTCAGCTAAAGTTGATGCTTGGTTCATCTGTGGCTATTGACTATAGTCAACACTCGGCTGTGTGCATTCATCTGTAGCTGTCGACTATAGTTGATGCTTGTACCAAAGTGGTTAAATGCCACCTCCTTCTCTTCTTTGCCATCTATAAGTGGAGGTATAACATACTCACTGCTACCTCGTAGGGTCAGTATATTGTGCCCAGTAAATGCTGGCTGTTTTTGTTGGCAGCAACATCATCACCATAAGTACTTGTTTGACTTTTGGAATTATCTCTAGTGCCACCATCTCAGGCTAAGTCTATTTATGGCACGATGCTGATCAGATCAATTTACTGTACACAGGGGAAATGTTCACCTATTTTTCTTGTTGACTGTCTCTGGAATGGGCTGTCCTTTTGCATGTATGTTTTATTTAAAATTTTCTGTATATCATCTTGAAATGAGTAAGTGTGTTTGTGTTACTGAAGTTCAGAATATGTTGACTGACCGCCTGACACAGGGTGGCTTTTGTTGCTTTGTTGTAGAAGCCGGCAGGAGCACCCCTCAGCATGGAGGAATTGTCTCCGAACGCACTTGCTCACTGAAGTGTCCCCGACAGAACTTTGGCTTGAACTAAAGGACTTTTTTTTTTTTTACACTTTAGCACAGTTTGTATATTTGAAAATAATGTACATTATTTTACCTTTCAGATTCTGGTTTGATATACTGAGGGCTAAGATATTTTATTCTTCTAGAGACTTTTTGATTTATCTTCATATATTTATCTACTAAAATATAGTATTTACAATAAACAATGTGTTGTTTCAGACCATTCTAAAGAGAACTGGGGAAGGCACTCTAATATAAAGAATGGGTGGTGGTTCTAAATACTAGACTAGCTACTACAGTACTGTGAAAACAAGATTAATTCTATTTCTGAAGGTTTTTAGACTAAGCACACCAGTTTTAAACTAGTTGAAGTGGAGTTGTATAATTCGGTTCAATAATTGATCACATGGGCTTTCCCTGGAGGAAGCACATTTTTAGAACTTAAAACTTGTAACTAAAATAAGAAATCTGCAGCTTTCTTGCACATCTGTAATGTATATAGAGATTTCAAAACCTGAGAACCCTTTTTCTTTGTTTGGGATTGTGAGAAAAGCACTAGATGACTTTAGCATTTACATTTTTCCCTTTATTACCCAATTTCGTATGACACCTTAATGGGGAGAGAAATTTGTCCATTTTTTCCTACAAATAAAAAAACTAAGATTCTGTGTTGCACTTGAGCATGAAGTTTTTCATTACCTGTTAAGAAACTGATTAGGCATCCTGTGGATTTTTTTTTTAATTGTGAATATATTTTATTGGTTTCAGTTGCAATTTGATCTTTACAATTTAAAGAGTAATAAGTGGAGAAATTTGATTTTTGTCTTTAGCACAGAATAATCAGTTTTCTTGATTAGTTTTTAAGCAAAAAATATGTTATTTTTTTGTTTGTTTTTAGATAGTCTCACTCTGTTGCCCAGGCTGGAATGCCATGGGACAGTCACAACTCAATGAAACGAGTGTGGAATTGTAGTCTTTTGTTGCTTCAAAACTACTTTTTCTCAGTCAGCATTTTTTCAGGAAAAAAAAAAAAAAAACTACTTTCTCTGTGTATCTTTATTTTTTTTCTTTGCTGCCCTCTCAATCCAGCTTTTCCCTACTCTGGGAAGAACTGGAAAGAAAAGTCCTCTGTGTATCTTTATTTTGTAAGTAAAAATAAATGTTTATTGAGATAATATTTTTTAAATTATAAAGGATTTCTTTATAGCCATATCTAGGATATAGGACTTACATAGTTTATTTTCTCAAGCTTTTTACCACGTACACTTTGATTCTAGCTACTCATAATGAATACTTGGTGAGTAAACAGTTTTACTAAAAGTCTATGGCCAGATTTAGTATAAGGAGCTATCGAAATAGAAAATTTGCCTTGCTCTGAGCATTAATTTTAACAAATAGCTTCAAAGGTTTCAGTAACAGCCATTGTCTTTGAAATCTACCTTCTGTAATTCAGTGTGAATAGAAAAATACATCCTTGATTCCATACGAAGTAGATTGTTTGCTTTTTGTCTTTTAAGAAACATACTCGGGGAAAATGTTTTAAGTAATACTTTTTCCTAGTATTTAATGAAGCTGACATTTAAGCTTCATTTTAAGAATACTGTGACAGCCTAAGGTAAATTATTTTTGATAGTTACAGAAGTATGACTTTTTAGCAGCTGTCAGATACAGCTTGATTCAAAAGTTTGAACACAAAATTACTTATAATAAATTGTAGAGCTTAGATTAATTGTAGTCTTATCTACTACTCAACAAAGTAGTCTTTAGCAGCAAAAAAAATAAGAGAAAATGTTAGTACTTCAAAAGGAAAATGTTTGATAGTTTATCTGGATGGAAGTAACATGATAAAGAAGGGTCAAATATTACCAGAATGTTTGCTAAACTTTCAAATTAATAAGATGCTAGGAATTTGGGGAGTGTAAATGAAAAGCATAGGAAATCAGAGAGATTGAGTTATTTATAACAGTAATCACTTTCCTCCTAACAGTTGTCCTAAAAGCCATGTGGTTCCCTTATAATGTGGAACAGTATTTAACTTTGAAAACTCAGGTTGCACTGTGAAAGAGGCAGCGTGCTGGTGACTGCGATGCTGCGTATCGCCTGCTGCCCAGCGTCACTCTCCAGTGTCCGAGTCAGCGTTCTGGGTTTCCCAGCAGAAAACCAACCACAAAGGGCCAGAGAGATGTAAGAACGTGCATTATTTCACAGGTAATAATTTCCCACATCTGTCTTTTTAGGGATGTTCAACACACAGCCTTTCCCAAAAGATTGCTCCCCACAGCTACTGAGGAATGATGACACTAAAAGGCCGAATTGCAGTGTGTCCATCAGCAGTTTGCTCTCTGGGCACACGATGACAAAATCTCCTGAAGCGAACTAGTGGTCTGACCTCAGTAACATCAAGATTGAAGCTTCATGCCATGGGAGTAGCCATGAAAGGCATCCTAAGAGCTGAGTTATTTTTAAGAAAAAATAATCAGCAACCCCCTCAGACAACACTGGGGCTTGAACAAGTAGTAAATATACTATGTACATGAAGATACACTTACTTGAATTAAGGACTACTAGAATCACAAACATAATAAAAACAGACCTTCGAGAATAGGTCTGCGTCCCCATACCATATACTTGGAACAAGATACCCAGTGTAACCAAATTCCCCAGTAAAATAGTTTGGCAACAGTCTCTTGATAAAGTTCATTTGCTCAGTGAAGGCTGAAATTAAGTCAATATGTTTGTATTACCAACTAGAACCTGACATAATTATGTTTTATTCAAAAGAGTTTCTCAGAGAGTAAAATAGTGGGTGGTTTCCAGGAGCTGGGGGAAGGGGCAGCAAGTACAAAGTTCCAGCTATGCAAGATGAATGAGCTCAAGAGATCTTCTGTATGCATAACATTGTGTCTGTAGTTGACAATACTGTATTGTGCACTTAAAATTTTAAGAGATCGCATATTAAACATTCCTACCACAATAAAAAAAAAAAAAAGAATTTTTTTTTTTTGGAGACAGAGTCTCACTTTGTTGCCCAGGCTAGAGTGAGTGCCGTAGCGTCAGTCTAGCTCACAGCAACCTCAAATTCCTGGGCTCAAGCAATCCTACTGCCTCAGCCTCCGGCCGAGTAGCTGGGACTATAGGCATGCACCACCATGCCCGGCTAATTTTTTGTATGTTTTCAGTTGGTCAATTAATTTCTTTCTATTTTTAGTAGAGACGGGGTCTCGCTCTTGCTCAGGCTGGTTACGAACTTTGACCTCCAGCAATCTGCCTGCCTGGGCCTCCCAGAGTGGCTACATGAGCCACCGTTTTTTTTGAGACAGAGTCTTACTGTTGGCTGGGCTAGAGTGCCCTGCCGTCAGCCTAGCTCACAGCAACCTCAAACTCCTGGACTTAAGCGATCCTTCTGTGTCAGCCTTCAGAGTCCGTGTGAAGAAATAACTTGTCTTAGGAGTAATATTGCTTATTGCTGTCTTCTTTTTTAACAGGTGATTTGCAGATATTAAAACTAGAAATTGGAACTGGAAAACCCCAAGAATGCAAGGTGCTTTAACATTAGCATTACAGTGAACTCATTTGACTATATTGCAGTTATTGAATCCCAGGATTATAGTTTCTTTTATTTTTCTTTTATTTTCAAGAACCTTGTTGGTGTTATAAATGTAAATCTTTTATTTTTTTATAAAATGTTCTCTACAACTATTTTTGTAAGCCATTTATTTAAAGTAAACTTGAAAACTTAAAAATCTTTTCTCTTTCAAGTAAACATCAATACTGTGATCGATCTTGATTCCCCCTTACTTTGAGTCCTTATTTGAGAATTCGCATATTCACTAAAGTTTGAAACCCCCAAATCAGCATGTACAATACTTGTGCAGTCATTTTCAGATACAAATAGAGCAGTGAATTAGTTGTCTGACACACGTGTTCCTAACAGAGGTGGAACAAGGGGACACTCTGCCTTGTTTCAACTCCCATACTGCAAATAAGTATCCTTTTCATGGTTTTTAATAAATTTTTTCTCATTTTTGCACTTTTTCTTGGCGATCTTACTCTTTAAAGTGGCCCCAAACACAGAAGTGCTGTTACAGTTCTAAGTGCTACAAGGCTGTGGTGTGCCTTCAGGACGAAAACACGTTAGATAAAATTTATTCAGGCACAAGTTACAGCGCTACTTACTGTGTGTATTCACTGCTATATTATGCCAAGAGAATCCTGGCATAGGTCTTGGAACCTAAGGTTGGGTTGTTGAAACTGCCATTCCAAAAAGGTCATGTCATGAACTATTTTCCCAATGCTCATATGCAATTGGGATGCCCACTTTTAGGCATTGAGAAAAATCAGTGTTGTTCCATCATTTTTGTTGAAGCCATTCCTCAGATACATAGTCTTAGGCCATTATTTCCTCTAAGCAAAAATACTTTAAAAATAAAAATAGCTAAAAATATCCAATTTGTTATAAATCTAAGAGTACTGCTCTTTCTCCAGTGTTACAAGATTAGAATTTGTACTCACCTTAAAACCACTAGGCTTAGTTTCCTTTAACTTTGGCTAAGTGTCGGATTAGAGGGTAATTACTGTTGAATAGGTTATTTCCCTATAAATATGCTTTGGAGTGCCCTTGATAAAAGGAATTTTTCATGATTTCTTCAAGTAAAAAATCAGATAATAGAGTTGATAAAAAAAAGAACTTTAATGGAAGGCACTGTTATCCAAAGTCACATGGGGGGGGGGTAACAGCCCACACAATGCCACCCTGCTCTCTACTTCCCAAAAATGCATCTACACCCCATTCCCACCCAGAGAGGAAGGTGCAGACGTCATTCAGCAGGCAATTTACATGGCAGTTCCCAGTGGTGTTACTACCTCCCAAAGCACTGATAGTTTTCCTTAAAACAAAGAAATGGCTATCTTAGACTAATGACAGAAGAACATCTTTGAGGAAAAAACCAAAACTATACCAGCTATTACAGCCTAGAAAAAGATTTCTAACAGTTCCATGTTTATAAGAAGCCCAAGAAATGCATTTATTCTGTTGTCTAAGTCCCCATGACAAGAACCATAAAGTCCTTGATTTAAACTGTGCTTATGAGAAGTTAAGAGCTACATGCATGAGTAGGTTCAAGAACCAAACTTCTGTTTGCCACCTGATGAATCAGAAACATTCAAATGCTTTGACCTCAAGGACAGTATCATAAATTCTTAAGAATGTCTTCGTTTATTCTCATTAAATACTTTTAACTTTGGAATCTTAGAAAAACTGGATTCCTACTTTCTCAGAAGACTGTAGTTTATCTTTTAAGCAAAAATAGGCATTTTGCTCTTGAATACTTAAAAAAAAAAAAAAAAAAACCTCTTCTTTCTTGCAGTAACGTTTTTTGGGATAACCGTTCCTCCTAATGGACAGTCATCGGCAAGACACCTAAAAGACACATTTTCCCAAGTTCTTACCAAAAATTCATCTTAATGAAAAAGTTATCCAGGAAAGCAAAATTTTGCTTTAAGTAGACAAAGTGTTGTTTATATGCATTAGACCAAGAAATCCACTTTAGTTTGAACAGTTTTAAAATGTAAATCACAGCTGAACAATGAATTAATGGGTGGTTCCAATGAGGTGTTACTTTGACATTTTGGTCTCAGAAGGTGTTTCCCCAGTATCCAATGTCTTCAACAACCGGAAAAGACCAGCAGCTTCTCGTATCCTACTGAACTCGATACAGAATGCCTGCACTTCTATAAACAAGTCCTGTACATTAATAATTTTGTTACGGATCAAGGACTGGAGAAAGACACACACAAGACGCACCAAACGATTCTGAAAAAGAAAATGCAAATTTTAGTGTGCCATTTTCCTGGCAAGTATTTATAAAACTTATAAAAATTTCTATTACCTGCATATACTTATCCTTAATTTGTTCACAAGTAGAGATGCAATTTGATATATAAAGGTGAATAAACTCAGGAGGTAGATCAACAGCCGTAGTTAGTCTGTTTCATAAAAGAAAATTCAAGCTGTTAGTTTTATTTGGCAACATTGAAAATTACTGTAAACCATAAAATATAAAATTTCCTTTGATGATCTGGTGGAAATTTCTGATATATGATCAATTCCCTAGTTTTAAATATACTTAGGCAAGTATACCTAAGAGAGCCACATCTACTTACTCATAAATAATACTTTTTTATATCTATACTTAGCATTACATGTACCAGTCATTCATTAATCAGTTATTTTTTTGAGCTCTCTCGTAGTATTCTTGGTTAAATCATAAGACACAGTCTGTTATCTTCCAAGCTCCAATATATCTTCATCAATAAGCACTATGAAAGGTCAGTGTGTCTAAGAGGAAGGTACAAGTTTAGTACGTGAATGGTATGCCATATAGTCAAATGCTAAGATGAGAGGTTCTTAAATAGGGTAATGGTAACGTAGGAGACTTGGGAAAAGACTTAGAAGGGCAAGTAACTTAAACTGAAACCTAAGAAATAATCCTGCTAATTGCATAGCAATCCAATCTCCATATAGGCATGGAATTGAGCATTAGCATGACATGTTCAGAAGCACAACAGAAAGACCTGGCTGGGATGTAACAAAAGGCAGGGCACAGACTAGAATCAGAGTCCTCAAGGCCAAGGATTACATGAAATGTTTTAAGGAAAGAAGAAAAAGCGAGGTAGGAATTCCATGTTCAATTAAGTCTGGGACACACTAGTTCACATTCAACAGGGCTTGTTGCAAAGCCTTTGCTATGCTAACTATAAAGTATGAATTTCCAAACAAAGATTCCTACATGCTGCCTTTTCTAAACTTGTCTGACCTCAAAACCTTTTCCACTAAGGTACTGAGGAAATAGTGCTCCAAGGAAACAAGTGCCATGGACCACTGTGGTCACTTGAGATTTGTGTGTCAGCAACAGACTTGTATCACGCTTAAGGCTAATGCACTATGATAGGTGCTGGGGAAAAATAAAAACAGGACCTTGTCCTAGACATTACAATATACTAGGGAAATTAGAATCACATTGATAAAAAGATGCAATTATTCTTGGATGAAGGCCCAGATGTCTGGTGAAGACAGTAACTGCTACAAGAGTACAGTGAAGGGGAAAAGTCTGGTGAAGACAGTAACTGCTACAAGAGTACAGTGAAGGGGAAAAGTGAACACTCGGAGCTTGCTCAATCTAAAGGACTTGAACAGAAGTCCTTTTCTCAGCCACTGAAAGAAGTATAAGTCTTGACTTCATAGAAAGGAGAAAGACTTGAACAAGTAGAGATGAGAAGAGGCAGATAGGAAGCAGCACAGCATGTTTTCAACAAGCATTTAACCAATTTTCCTAGTGACCAAACACAAAGTTAAAAATTAATTTGGAAGTCTCGGGCTTCCTCCCTATTCTACCCTTGAAAGGACGCACTGTCCTCTTGCACACATACTTGCACTCCCTGGGCTTCCAGCCAAGCTTCATTTCACCACTTGATAAACTTAGAAGACATATTTTTAATTCAATTTTGAGTGGGTTTTTTAAAAAATCTCTAACAAACGTGTTCAAAAAAAACATGGTGTAACTACAGTTTAGGTGCCTGGCACTAAGAGTGGATTTCCCCATGTAGTAGAAGGACCACATAATTTACCATCAGAAACATGCGACATGAAAGAGAGCTCAGGATACAAAGCCTCAATCAGGACTATCTCAGGCAAACAACTGGCAGGGTAAGGAGACTGGAGTCAAGAAAAGGAGAAGGGAACAAGGAATCTCTATGATGGCTTTCTAGAATTCCTAAATTCTCTCAGCTCTTAAGGCCCATACCGTTCCATACTATAGCTGTTAGTCACCAAGAAAAAATAACTAATATAATACCTATATTTGTATAGGGACAAAGAAGATACAACTATGTACAAGGAAATAAATTTCAGCAAGTAAGTTTCATTCACATGTCCTACAAATGCTAAATGTTTGAAATCCTACCCTCAGAG